TGTATCTATCATCATCCACCATCCACCATCCATCCATCATCCATCCGTCCATCCATCATCCATCCATCATTCATCTATTATCCATCCATCATCCATCCATCCATCCATCATCCATCCATCTATCCATCTATTTCTTCACTATCTATCTATCCTCTATTATCTTTTCTTACTCTCTAAAATTATAAAGCCTACCTCCACTCAAGCAACAGAAAACAAACACTGCCTAAATATCAAATCCTTTGGAGTTCTCTTCATAAGCCTTCAATGGGTGAATTATAGCTCCTTATTAGTGCGTTTATTTCTCTACCATGCACATACATGACTCAGATCTATTGACTTACAACAGCAGGTCCAATGAGCAATATAGGGGGTTGGTGATTCTATACACTAGTAGCGAAGTGACCTAATAAATAGGAAATCTATGATTGCTTTTTTTATATATTGTGTATCCAAATAAAAAAACCATAGCATGTGTGGTTTGGTTTTTCCTTGAAAGCTTATCTAATGTTAATGATACTGTGGGTTTCCTTTATGACCAGGGAACAGAGAAGACTGAAGAGAGTGGAGAAAATGAGGCACAAAAAGAGGACAATGAAGATGCGGGCAATCTCGCCGAATCTCAAGAGAAGAATGTGAGTGTTTGCTTTTTGTACCATAGTTTCACTGGATTCAGGTCGAGAAGCATTAAAGCACCTCCAGGTGCCAGGAATCTTCCTGCGCACACTGAAGTGAGCATGGAAGCCAGGAGCTGAGGGTTCAGCCAGGGACGAAGCAGGGGGAAGTGTTCACTACTGTGGTCAAGGCAGGTTGAGGACTAAAAGGAAGCCAGAGAACCCTGAATCCAGGCCTGGAGGGACAGGCTAGACAAGGATTTAATAATTTGTAATTGTGTTGTTAGGGTTAGGTTAGGTTCAAGTTCTTCATAAAACAAGGGACCTTATCCCTTGGGCATGAGTAATGATGATTCCCAGCAAATGCCCACCAAGAGCACTGCTTACTGGGGACACAGAGGTAATGGAGTGGGACATTTTGTGGGAAGCCAGCAGGAGCTGGGGATAGAGCAGAGGCCTCGGGGAGGTAAACCCACACTCAATTCAGATCCAATCATGGGAATATCAGCTGCTCCAAGGCCTGTGATCTAATTCTAAAGGGGTCCCAATTCAGGGGCCCCAGAATAAAGGGCAGGGGGAATATGGGAGGGCAGGGGAGACTGTAGTTCTACAATGGCCAAGCTGAGAGAATGGGAGATCAGATGGGCCACTTATTGAAGGAATTCTGAAAATGTAACTGGGAAGCCAGGTAAGGGGAGACGGTGGTGCACAGGGAGCTGAGCGGGTGGGGTTGCGGGCATCGGGCTGAGCCTCCCCTAGAGTTTCAGTGATCGTAATGCGTTGGGCCATTTGTAACAAAGACTGCTTACTGAACCATGATGGTTTGCATTTTTACCTATTTATGATTCTTTTTACCTATTTATTGATTCCAGGAGAGGGTGTAGACATCTGTTAAGATAGTTGGACTCTCATTCCCAGCAGATGGAATGTGGTTAGGAAGGGCCCTGGGGAAACGTGCTATGGGCATGTTGGGGTGGGCATGGGCATCAATTGGTCTGTATTATAAGGAATTTAAATCTGGAGGAGCCAGGGCAATAAATTCCTCATATTTAAAGATTGCTATCCCAAAGTGCTGATAATTTAAGACTCTTTGAAGTCTTTAGTTTGGAAGAAAGACAAGGTCTTTAAGCCTGACCTAGAAGTTAGATGGAGTTTCATGGCAGGCTGTATCATTCAGAAATAATAAATTTTAAATTAAATATAGTGGCAATTTCATTACCCTGTCATTTAAAAATCCATGTTTTTATAATGCAGACTTTACAGGAATTGCCTAGTGCCTTCTTATAGTATTATCGATTTATATTTTTTGAAATCCAGTTTGCTTCCTGTAAGACAGAGAGACAAAGATAAGAAACATTACACCCCAATCCCTTTCTCCTGGGGACTGAGAGGAAAGTAAATTTTAATAACTACAGCAAAGATGGGTCTGCTTCCTCTTCTCAGCTACTGTTCAGAGAGGTGGTAAGCCATCAGGCCCGGGGTTCTCTTTGTTAGTATTTTTTTTTTTAATTGAGAACGCTTTACAAAGTAAATTATAGTCCTATAAATCCTGATAGGAATGAAAAAAAATCATTTTTGTTATTTTTGCCTGGGCTCTGATGAAGATATGACTAAGTAAAAGACATTTTAATTTTAGATGAATGTATTATTCACATTAATGATCAAAGTCATTTTCAACTCTTTAGTAATATTTGTTCTATATAAAGATAGATTCTGACTTTTTCCTATTTGACAAGTGATCCATGCTCTTTGACTTACTTTAATTCAGTTATATAAGAAAGAAACCCCATGATTTGTCGGTAGGATTACAAATGACATAGTAACATGATTAGCTTTGGGACTGAATATATAGGAAAATGGATTGAAATTTGAAAAGGAGATGAAACTATATGATATTTTGAATGGTTGCGTTTTGTACTTAAAGAATCTCCCATCCGCTTAAATGGTTTTTGGGTTTGTTCTTATCTTATCTTATCTTATTTATTTATTTTTAAAGATTTATTTATTTGAGGGAGAGGGGGAGAGAGCAAGTGCACAGCAGGAGGGGCGGAGGGAGAGAATCTCAAGCAGACTCCCCGCTGAGCATGGAGTCCAACGTGGGACTCCACCTCATGACCCTGAGATCATGATCTGAACTGAAATCAAGAGTCGGACACTCAACTGACTGAGCCACCCGGGTGCCCCTTGGGTTTGGTTTTCAAGGTTAAGATGGGAAGGCCACCTAGGCTGTCATCACACCTTTCGGCCCACAGTGCACTCAGGCTTAGATAGGCTAATTTGTAACGAAGAGAGAAGCCAATTAGATTTCTGTGTTTTACTTCTTTAAACACTGATTTTCAAAGTACTAGACACATCCTGCTGGGTTCTTCTAGATCTTACAGCTCAGATCAATCCAGTGCTTTTTAGATAAACTCTGGCCCTGTTGAAAACCGCCTGGAGGAGATTTCATGGGGTCTTACCTTGTGCTCCTCCTGGCCCCTTGTATTTGAACAGCGGGGCTCCCCCTGCTCCGTGGAAAATAGAAGGAATACAGTATCCGTGGGCTGCCATCTGGTTCCTAAGCCATGTGGCAAGAATGTCAGCTTCCTTTATTTGTCTAACAGCATGATATCTGCTTCACACCTCCACCTCATGCTGGCAGGACCTTCCGTCAGGGTGAGGGGCTGATGGGCGCTGGCCCCTCGGCTGAGTCAGGCCCTCGGCCTCTGACGGAGCACAGCTGCTGCCCCTGGGGTCAGTGTCCCCCCTTCTGCCCCTCTGTCTCCAGTCTGGCTGCTTCCATCAAGACAACTCCAAGCCTAAGCTCCAAGCCCCCCCTTTTTTTAGGGACTGTCTAGCTTCATTGCCTCTCCTAGCTAGCCCAGGATCTTTAAAGCAAGTCCTCTCCTTTCTTCCCTAGGAGCCCAGAACCCCCACCAGTCTGTGGCTCTCTTCTTGGAGTGTGGGAGGGGCAGTAACTCTACTCCCTGTCTCCAGTGTTGTGTGCCGAGGAATACAACACATAGTTCATATCCTGGTATTCAGCCACACTAGGTATGACAAGGAATCCAAACGTACTTTCACCTTTCATTCTGAAATGATTACAGACTTACAGGGATGTCGTTCAGAGCCCTGTGTGCCCTTCACGTGGCGGCGCCCTGTGCTGAGGTCTCCGATAGCCACGGTACAGTGTGGAAACCAGAACGTGCCCCCGTCGCCTCTCTATCAAACAGACTGCAGAGCTCAGTGTGCACCATTATTTCAGACCTTCCATTTGTGTGTTAGGGACAGTTTTCGAGTGTATAGTGGTAGCCACGGCCGCTGGCGGCTGGTCGCGGTACACGGAGGGATGAGGCAGCTAAGTAATGTCTGGGCGTGGTCTTGTTCTTCTAGCTATTGCACATGCTCACTCAGGACGTACTTGATGCCTTTTTATTTTATTTTATTTTATTTATTTATTTTTTAACGATTTTACTTATTTATTTGAGAGAGAGAGACACAGAGAGAGTGCAACCATGAGCTGGGGGAGCAGCAGAGGGAGAGGGAGAAGCAGGCTCCCAGCTGAGCAGGGAGCCAGACATGGGACTCGATCTCGGGACTCCAGGATCATGACCTGAACCAAAGGCAGATGCTTAACCGACTGAGCCACCCAGGCACCCCTTTGATGCCATTTTGATGGCCAGAAATATTTATCTAAGAATGTCACTCTTGATTTAAAAGCAAATCAGAGGTGGAGACAGAAACCATCACCTCCTGTAATGAAACAGACCTCCCCGACCACCAACCCAAGCGTCATGGCTCTCAAACACCAGATGCCAAGATGCATCTTACCCACATGCTGGTGGGTTGGGGGGCATTTGGGAGGCAGGACGGTGAACACTGGGGAGACTGTTCATTCCTGCCTGAGAAGACCTCCTATGTTGCTCCAGACCCCAGTAGAGAAGGGACTTTGTGGTCACCTTCCCTGCTGACCCGGGAGGGACAGGGGGCTAGGGAGGAGAGGCGGGCTTGTGAATGGTACCTGAGGAGGAAGGGAAGGAAGCAGAAGGTCACTTCAGCTCCAGGGCACACTCTGAGGAGGGCCTGCAGACTGGGGGCTTCGTGAGAACTTTATGGGAGACTGGACAGGTCGCAGCTTTGTGTTTGGTTTCCACTGAGGTGAAAGTATTTTAAGTTGTGCTCCTTGCCAACTCGGTGGTCCTCTCCAAAACCTCTTAAGACCTTGGCTTGACTGACTACATGATTATGGCTTGTAAAGCCCACTCAGCTTCCTCCAAAACCGGTCCTGAGGAAAGTTGCTTTCTCAAGGGGCAGACGTTGGTTTAGGTCTTTGAGGAGCTGGTGAGTCTCAGGCTGGGTCCCTGCAGTGCCAGCAGATAGAGAGAACTCTGCCGTTGTCCCTGAGATTTCCAGCCATTCGGAGGCCATCTGCCCTCCTCAGGTCACTCTGGGCTGGCCCTCGGCTTCCTTCCACACCAGCCACCTGTCCTATCCAGCCACTGCCTGACACTCACCACAGCTGACACCTGTCCCTCATCCTGGCCACTTTCCGTCTCTGCCGCCTGCCTCGCTGGCCAAGTTCCCAACCAGGATAGCTGCCGGGGAAGATTCTAAGACTACCTGCTTCGGACGCTTCCCCTGACTAACTTTATTATAGGAGCAACAAGGTAAAATGATTTTAAGTTGTAGCTTTGTCAAGTGAATGATGCATACATAGCCTGTCCTAAGATTTGCAAGAGCTTAGCTCAACTGACCATGTGATCATAATGATATTAAAAAACAAAACAAAACAAAACCTTTTTGCTGGTATAATTATTTGCCAACCATAAAGGTCCATCTCAAGAATTGAATATGGATGACTTTTAAGGTTCTGTCCAATTCTGATATTTTATAATTCTGTGAGCTAAAGATGAAAGTTTAAGTTCTATTTCCATAATATATCCCCCCCCTCCTCCTATGAGGGATTCGAGGCAGAAGTCGCAAATATAAATGCATCCATTCAACACGTTATTGACAGCTTGTCTGCCCCCTGCCAGGCAGGA